AATAATGTCTTCAATGCGTTGTATGTTTTTATAGGGAAAATATTGACAGCTGATTTTCATCTTTTACTCGAATTTGATTCACAGTTCCTGATTCAAATTATGAAATGCACCAAAAAGGATCCATATAAATTTATAAAATCATAAATTTATTACAAAGCCACATCTCAATCTCAAGAAATCTGCATAAAAATGCTTGATCCCTAGACACTTTTGATGTGTGTATTTTCTGCTAAAATGTTTGATATATCATATTGTAATAAATGAATAACATTACTCGCCTTAAATACATTATGTGTACTGAAGTTAGATTGGGTTTAATTAAACTGTTTTGTTTTGTTTTGGGCAAACATAAGTGAAAGTAATATCAACGTTTTGTTTCGGTGGTTGTCACCGTTATGAATAAATTACCTACGGTACTTTTCTGACAAACTCTCTTGATTTTGTTGGAACTCCATATAGTACTGGGCTACCTACCGATTGTATAGTATAAGATATACGAATACGATACGCAGACATTGCAAGTGGGTGCGGTCAGTGACCCGCCCAGTGCACCCCTCAACCGTTATAGTCGATTTATGGAAACTGGCTGAAACCTTGCGGGACTAAGGGAGACCACGCTGGTATGCGACGTATTTTGATCCGCACAGTTGTATGAAAAGAGGGTTCCTGATCAGGAACAATTTTTCATATAATATTAAATATTTGAACTATTTTTAGTTTTTCTCCACTAAGCAGAAAACTCTCCGTTTTGTGGATTAATCAATAATCTAATTAAAGTTAATACCTTCTGAAACGGTAGATATACTTCACATTTATTGCTTGTGTTGCACATGTACGAGTAAATACATATTATCTAGTATCTTTACTAAGAATGAGACCGTTACCTATTTTTAGGGTTCCGTCCGTATCCAGCTTTCGGTGTAAGAAAGCGGAGCGAAAATTGAATAAAAATTAAAATTAACGGGGGCTCTTATACAAGACTATACTTTTTGGTAACTTTTCTCGATCTTTGTATGAGTATATACGCACTTGCTTTGATTTATTTATTCTTCTTTAACATAATGTAATATATGGGTTGTCTTTTGTTCTTTTTTTGGTACTACTTTTCATTTTGCAAAAAGCTTCCTGAGATAGCTGAAATCTACACGAACGAATTCCTGGGCGGAAGTTAGTCTTTAATTCGTATGGCTACACCAAATCAAGTTGAATTGTAAACATAAGCGTTTTAATTTGAATTCATTATAAGTAAACATTTACATAGCGCTAAGGTAACTCTGCCTGTTTGAGGAGAGATCGCTAGCATTGATTCATTCGTGTATTGTCGTATGACGTAATCTAGTACGATGTACAGCTACACTGGTCTTATTTGGCTCTTTTTTAAAGGTAACTTTTATAATGGTGATTATACTAGCCACTCGTAGCCGCAGCGTTCCTGACAACTACCACCATCACCGACCACCCTAGATAATGAAGTGGACGTTGTTCCTTTTTGCTGATTACCAATAATCAATCAGACTGCTCTTGCAAGTTGATCAGCAGGCATAATCTATAAATTTTATTCTCCTAATCCAGCATGAAAAATTACATGATTTGATGAAAGTGAGATTCTACTGTCAACAATTCAAGTGTAGGCTGTTGGTTTTTCGATCCTTGCACGGAGTAAAGAATTCCAGTCCACCCAGTTGTAAAATTGAGTAACATATTAATTTATTAAATGTTATATTAATTAGGTAGTCTTTCAATGTCATTTCTAGATATTTTTTTTTCTTTTTTTCGTTTCTTTATAGTTTTCTCAGTTTTTTTTTCTAAAATAAAATAAAAGTTTAGGTTTTTGTAAATTTCTAGTGTTTGTCTGCATACTAATGCAATTGCACTGTAAACAAATGTTTTCATAAGGGATGTCTGTTAAGGTAAATTGGAAATATTATTTCCTTCGAAATACTTCATACCGTATCCTTAACATAGTTACCTATAACTGGATTTATTAGCCAAATGGGTCAAGGAACCAATGTCTCGATGAAGTGTCGTTTGTTGTCGAAGCAGTGATTCGTATTTGGCTGTGTCGATTGATTCCGAGAAGGTACGGTGACGGTCGGTCGGCGCTCGCTGCCTCGTTGACTGTATCACTCGCTGACAAGTTATTTTCTGTACCATTAGTCACGCGTGTATCCGGCGCAGGCGCAAGACGTGCCCACTGTGACTTTTTGTGGCATCAGTAATGCTACGAAAATATTATTAAATATTTTTTTAAAGTTATTTAGTGTTCTGGAGTTTTGTATATGTAATTTGAAGAAAAAATATGATAAGTGTTTAATGTTCTTTAAAAAAATAGCGTCTGACCACTTCGCACATTTGGAATAGTGCTGATAAAACGTACATAGTAGTGGAAATTGTGCATCACTTAATGTGTAGTGAATTTTTGAGGAAACATGATTTTGATGAGGTGTGACTTCATCGGTTGATGTTTAACGAGAAATGTGACTCAATCTCTGTCATTGGACCTTGATAACAGTGTTGCTAAATATTAACTGGCCTTTTAAGTTGAGCTGTAGTTAAGACAGCAATTGTGTTTACTTATGTACAACAAAAATTTGACTGAATTTACCTGTTATCCTTGAAAAGGTTAGTGAACATATTTGTGCCATATTATATCTTAATATTTTACTCCAAAACATACTATATATAACAGTTTTAATAGTTCATAAATTTATATTCGTCGATTCGTTATTTAGATATCCAGGCCTTTTAAAGTGGACCTCATGTCCACTTTAAAATTCATGCAATTGTTCTATTCTGTTGTAATCATTTCTAATAATATATCATGATGCGTCTTACAATATTACATCTTACACTATTGTAAAGTTACAGCTGTTTATCTTGAAATTGATTCGTATCTGCATTTTGAATACACAAAAGACTTTTTACAGAAAAAGTCCAGTGGAAGCAAATTTTCACTGACTTCTACAACGACACAACCTTGATAACATATACTGCTCGACCAATCTGTGATACCTTCAGAGTTCCATTGTAATTATTTACTCTTAAACACCTTTATACTACCTAGTTATTATATCCCTTGTGGAGTTAGCTTGGCAGCTACTTCAAACCCAACCTATTCAAATACCGCTACCGCCAAAGAAGAAAAAAAATTCGTAAACTAAAGTAAAAAGTATTTAAAAAAAATCGTGACCTAAAATAAAAACTTTAAAAAAAATAAAAATCAGTATTTTAAATTAGTTTTTTATTTTAAATGAATTGAAGTTAAAAAAAGTTAGAGCTAATTAAAGATATTATTAATATAATTAATATATACCGGTAAAGCCTGAATTATGGTTCACTCTTGCGTTGCATTGTTTAGGCGTGGCAGTAGGTAATTGTGATAAGAACAATGACATTTTCGCTTCCTTTGTAGGTGTTTCTTACACCATAGATTTTACTGAATTAAATCGATGATTGTTATTGCCTAAATCACTCTTAAGTGTCTACATGTGGAAGTATAAAAACAGGAGGATGAATATAATTTACATTCCCTTCGGTCGTCTATCAAACCATAGATGCCTAATTAGTTTCGATGAAGTAACAGTAAAAGAAGTGTGTAACTGCATAGAAACAGTTGGCAAGAATTTCCATAAATAACAAAGGAGTCTGACAGACCCGCACTCCTCAAAACTCTGCTCATCGACTTTGGAAAATATGGTCTATATTTTGCTTGTCTTGAGGATAAGAACCTTCTACAAACTGAGATTGAAAGCAATATATTTTTTTTAAAAGAATACTTGGGGTGTGATCTACAATCGATACCGAAGCCAAAAATATAGTTTTTAAAATTTTTGTCTGTTTGTCTGTATATATGTCCGGGATAAACTCAAAAAGTACTGCATGGATTTAATTCTTTGGCACGAATATTATTAAGAAGTTGGTTGGTTGTTGGGAAGGTGGTACGCGACAGGGTTCTAGGTGCTATGTTCATTTCCGAGATAAAATCTTCTCTCTCACCTTATGGGCTATGTGAAATGTCTGTTAATTCGATTGATATTTTTGGTATCGCGGGCATCTATGCTTACCGCTTCACATTAGGCGGGCTATATGTTTGTTTGTCACTCTTTTAACATAAAGAAAATCCTTAACAATCGTTTTTATCAATGGCCCAATCGTCAGTAGTAATCCTGTCCCACTCGTCAACTATTTCTATGCTCCCACGTTGCGACCTCGATCCGGCGGGCGTGGGCGGCGCCCTTTCTCGTTCGCGCCCGCCTACAGGTGCGTGGCCCATGTGGATACACAAACTGGTCTCTTTTTTATAACTATTAATACTTAATTGAAAACAGAGGCCCAAGCACGAATTTTGACAGCTCTGTAATCGTATCGCGTAGTCAAAGTTTCTATGAAAACTAAGCAGCATCCCTACCGGATGTAAGAACAAACTGGGAGCCAGTTTGTTTCCATACAAAATTTGGCGATACGATTAGATAATCGATTGATCGAATTTCTCATTAAATAAAACTAAAAATAAAAAAAAAGTGAAGTATGTAATTGTCTTTTTCCCCGATTTTTTCTGGTCTTCGAAAGACGAAGTGTTGTTGTATCTGTTGATAGTACGATATATGAACATACGGCTGATACCAAGCTTTTGAAGTATCTGGAATATGACCGACGGCTCCATACCCACTTTGTGCAAGGCGATCAATGTAATCCTATTTTCTTTCACACCCCATTCCATATTGTAATTTGATAATGAATACGAAAAAATATCTGAAATGGAAGTATTTAAAATAATATACGTGTTCCAAATTAAAAATAATGAAAAAGTAAAAAAAAAGAAAAGTTTTTATGTAACAGTATTTATGGCCAGACTAGTTATAAATTAGTTGCTGCTCTGCGATAATTATATGAAATAATTAGAACTTCGACATAGTACACCCACCTTCACGATGAGGACCCACATTAACAAGTGCTTCCATCTTCAAATATTTATTATAATCATTGAATCTTTGTTTCAGAAACTTAAGTACGACAACAACAGCAGCGAAACGACAAAATGTCCCGACTACCGACGGCCCTCCTCATAGGGGCTTGTTTAATCAGCACAGTTATTTGCCAACGAGCGGAGCACCTCTTAGCACAGAACCCTTGCTCGAGTAAGACGACATGTAGCGACTGTATACGGACGCCCAGCTGCGCGTGGTGCTTCGCTGCTGACTTTAACGGGCCGCGGTGCTTCAATCCTGCCATGGAGGGCGGCACCGGGGGTTGCGATGAGGCTTACATCTTCAATCCGGACAACCAACGCTCTATCGATCCCTTGTTCAATAGGGAATTGAGTAGAGGTAAGAACTTCTATAGGTTACTACCCACCAATCCGTACTAGGCTTCCGTAGTCTGTCGTGCGTTTCTTCCTTTTTTATTTGAAAAGGTGGCAAACAAGCATATCGCCCCCCTAATGGTAAGCGGCCACCATACCCTATAGACGCTTGCTATACGAAAGCTATCACTCGCGCCGTTACTCGAGTTACTACTCTGACCACATCCCCTGGAGTGGAGACTAGGAACCTTACTCACCGACTGAAACACAATACCACCAAAAGGTGTTAATTTACTGTAGTAAGATGGAGGTTACTTTTCTAGACGGGCTCCCCAATTCGAGCGGCAAATCCGCTATGCCCTTCATCTCCTTATTACGTCGTTATAATGTCCCCCGCAGCAGTGGGGTCCCCAGAAAGCAAATGGTTTATCTTACCCTACCTGTCATGGAATTCTCGACTTCGTAAAATCAACCATCGTATAATTTCTAAGTATTTTTTATGATATGTTACTGTGATAGCTTTGATGACTCATGTCATCACTGAGTCAATTAGTCACTATTATTGGTGAAGTCATAATGTCTGTGCCTGCAAATACATAACGTATTATGATATGTATGAGAGTCACCCTAATTGTAAAATAACGATTGACGTCATAAAATCTCAATAAAACTGGTGACTATAGGTAATTGCACTTGCTGAAAGGACAATGTTAAAATTGGCCTAAGAACCAACACCAATTTGGCATTTATGATAATTCTTAGTATATTTTTTGCGATAATTATCAGTATTTAGATTGTGACGGACACTTCCAGTTAAGTAAGCTAAATTAAAAAGTTAATAAATAATCTGAAACAATAAATACCATTTTATGTGTATAATCTATGACAGCACTGCAAACAAAAAATACTTTCTTCCTAATGCCGGCACTTCACTTGGCTATTCGTATTTGCTATTTAAAAACATGACATCAGTCTGTCCTTTTCATTCCTTATTAAGCATGACAAGGACAAACTGTTGTCAAGTGAAGGGCCGGCATAAACTCGATACTCTGTGATTGTGGTGCAGGCAGTTTGCATTCGTAGTAATCTGTGGCATTCGTGCAATCTCGTCAAGAGTACTTTTAAATACGGAAAATTCTCGTTCGGATTATCTGTTGTGTGTGTTTATTTGCGATTGTTTTTCCTTTAATTTAACTATTACTATTTCGGCTATCTAATATGCCATCGTAACATACCAAAGTGCAGAGACCTTATTACCAAGTGCTAGTGAACCTGTGCCACAACATCCTGAGAGGATCATACTGCCAAATTATTCAAGAGCACCTGATACACATTCACGCTGCATATTTACACAATATACATGTATTAAACAAATAAATACAATATGATACAACTATGTGAAAAATAGTCAATAAATAATAAGAAGCAAAACTATTGTTTTTATTTTATTCATGATTCCTACCTAACCAAGTTTTTCCTAATAGTTATTCTTTAAAATCGCACCGAGTAAAATGAATTAGTTGTAATATTAATTCACTTCATACTAAGTTCATAGGTTGACCTATGTTTCATTATCAAACATAACCTCAAAAATATTTTAGTTTTCCTAATAATTTTAGTTCTCAGAAGGGTCCGTCAATAATCTTTGTTTTTACAGTCATTTACTTGCGATTTCGAACCTAGAAAATAATATTTCATGACTGTTGGTTCTTAGGCTAACTATGTATGGACGCAGAGCAATGTCCTTTAGACACGACGCAACTTGCAAAAAAAATTTGAATACTAAACATTGTGTTGGTATAATGTGTATAATAATTTAAACGTTTACATTATTATTTGTTAACCATTCCGAATCTTCTGCTTCTATCCAGGCGAACGCCAAAAGTAGATCGATAGGATTTCTCAAGAGACACTCATCTGATAAAAAAATACACATCTAAAAATAATTTTTATTCAGAATTCAATGGCTTTTTACCTTTATTACCTGTGATATTACCAAGTCTTGTTAATGCAAGTGGTAATTCGAACCTAATTTATTTTTAACTACCTATTTCTGCAACTTCGACAGCGTAGACTATTAACTGTCATACCCCACAAAGAACTATTTGCGCGACCAAAAGAATCGTCCTTTCTAGCCTATATATATCACTGTACCAACTTAATTATATTTTTCTTTAAGTTAACGAGAAAAATAACGAGAATGTAAATTAACGAGAGAGCTTATTCTTCTAAGAATTTCTACACCAGAATTCTTTAGTTTCAGTTTTTTATACGTCAAAACTTACAGACAGTCAGTCACATTCACAAATATAGTACTAGTATGCAAGTATGAGGAGCTCGAAGGCGCGAGTGGTTATGGCGCGTTCGTCTGCGATCATTGAAGTTAAGCAACTTTCGCAGAGGTCAGTCCTTCGATGGGTGATTGAAAATTTACTATCTCAAGCTCCTCCGTGCTTATGAAGGCACGTCAAGCCGTTGTTCCCGGCTGCATTAGCACTCGTTAGCACCTACCAATCAGCACTGGGAATGCGTGGTGGGCTATGACCCAATCTCCCTATTCCATCTACAGGGAAGGCCTGTGCCCCAACACGGGGACATTAACAGGCTGAATGATGATTATATGGATGTAGGTATATAAGTAATTTATTATTTCTTTAATTTGTTTTTTAGCAAAAGCTGGTATGGGCATCGGTATGAGCGCGTCAACCTACGAAGAGTCGATGAGTGCTAAAAGTGGTGGTTTTGCCGCTGGTGGAGGCTACGGCAGAGGCGGCGGTGGTGACAACCTCATCCAAATCAAACCGCAGAGAGTCAAATTGCAGTTAAGAATGAGTGAGTTGTTCATGACACCGCACATGAAAATATAATTACCCATCTCTCAAACTTCGCAGAATTTATAATCGATTTATGGCTCGGTATGACCACCTGCAATTAATTTCTCTATTGAATTGACAGATGAAATGCAGAAATTGACGTTCGCTTACTCGCAAGCTCAAGATTACCCAGTCGATCTCTACTACTTGATGGATCTGAGTAGATCGATGAAGAATGACAAGGACAAGCTCAGCACCCTTGGCAGCTTACTGTCCAGCACTATGAGGAATATCACATCAAACTTCAGGATAGGTTTCGGTTCATTTGTGGACAAACTAGTCATGCCATACGTGTCTACTGTCCCCAGAAAGTGAGTAAAAGGTTTCTTTGTCTCATTAAAAAATATTTTCATGGTGTTTTATATGCAGATGTGGTTATATAATTAATTAATTCATTATTACTTTCGGCCGCCCAACAAAGATGTCAATTAAATGGAATACTTGTCCAACTTACGTACTGTTTTATTGTATTCCTGGGCTGCGTTCAATACCTTCGCTTTGAGTGAAACTTTTTACCTTGACGATTAAATTTTGACATATAATATATGAAGATAATGTCAACTTTGACTTTTGTTGCACCTAGGTCGTAGGTTTTGAATGCAGCCCTGTACTGTATTAAAGAATGTGACAGTATCTACTTTGGTTTGATTGTTAAATAAACTATTACGTTTCTGAGGGTGGCCGTTTAAGACTCTTCCGACTAAAGGTACATTTTCGCTACATAAAGTATTCTATCTCGTATATTTGTAAATGCATCATGATCTTATTATATTATTTTTTCTTTTAGTTTGATTTCGCCTTGCGATGGCTGTGCGGCTCCTTATGGCTTCAAAAACCAGATGTCATTGAGTAATGACACTGATTACTTTGATGTAAGTATTTTGTCATACTCATAAATTATAATCTTAGTAAATATATTTCTAAGTCAGGTTTTCTGCTCCACAATCATGCCAGAAAGGTGAAAATATTATCACGAGGAGTTTACTGTCGAATGCTTGAAAATAGCCATTACATAACTTTCGTGTTTCTGATAAAATTATATAAGGTCGAGGAAATTTCTTCGTACGATATAAATTCAAGATTTATTTTTATCAACATTTTCTTTTTAAAGCTACTGGGTATTTATTAGGAGTTTCAATATTGTAAAAGTATAATTCAAGAAGTCAGTTTCCATTACATAATTGGGTATAAAAATATGATGAATAAATGCGTGTCGATAGGGAGTGTCCGTGATGCTAGCGTACCCACGATCAATATACGGTTTTTCGTTATGCCATTAAATACTGCGTAAATAGTGCCAAAATAGTGTAAAAATAAAAAAAATAGTGCCTCTTTAATTTAAGAAATAAAGACCATTTTTACTGTGTACGCTAGCATGACGTCAAGCTAGCGTACCCATGGCCGTCCCCAAGAACGGCATATATTTAAGCAACGAAATTGACACACAAAAATAGTTCACAAATAGTGCCCTGGCTTTACAAAATTTCATAATCAATACTCTTAAAGGACCAAAGATATTGAACTAAACATTCTTAGCTGGCGTCAACCTGGCGTACCCTTAATAGTAATCATAGAAAATGTACTTTGCTCGTTATCAATTCTATATGTATAAATAGTGTGTCAAATAGTGCCTCTAACAGTAAAAGAATTTTGAGTGAATTCGCATCATAACAATACATAAAGAGGATATTAAATTCTAGGAACAAATGTATTGTAGTACAGTTGCACACAAAATTAATTTATACACTAAGGCATTATCCTAATACAACGCGATAACGCGAATGAGCGATGCGATCATCGTACGAGTCGACGATCAAACATATTGATCTAGAATAGGTGTCCTAGTAGGCGATCGCGCGATGCATTCGCGCGACTAAAATGATTAAAAATCTATTCGCGCGAACGCGCAATCAAACCTATTAATGATGAATAGGTGTCCTAACTGAAGTTCGCGCGATGATCGCGTCGTGTCGATAGGAAGCGGGGAGAGGGGCAGGGCTAACCCGTTCCGTATTCGCGTTCTATTAGGACACCCAGAACGCGATGACGCAATGGTCGCATCGTTTAAACGCGCGATGATCGCGTTATCGCGTTGTATTAGGACAATGCCTAAGAGATTATGTATATATGTATTTTTACTAAAATAAATAGGTACTTTTTATAAAAAAGTATTTTATTTCAATTCGAATTCACCAATCATAAATTCATATAAGAATTTCAACCTAGGTAGGCTAAGTACCTTACTTACCTACTATACTACGAAAATATTATCACTTCTGTACATGACTGTACCTCATATATAAAAATAATTTAATTGCTTTTTTTTATATTGTTTTACTGCGAATTCACATAAAATACTTTTACTGTTAGAGGCACTATTTGACACACTATTTATACTTTCATATGGAATTGATAACGAGAAAAGTTCATTTTCTATGAGAACTATTATGGGTACGCCAGGTTGACGCTAGCTAAGAACATTTAAATCTAAAGAAAGTTTACTATAGTAAACTTTCTTTAAATCTAAAGAAAGTTTACTATAGTAAACTTTCTTTAGATTTAAACATCTAGCAGTTAAATGCTTAAAAATAAATAAAAACATAAGAACATTTAGTTCAATATCTTTGGTCCTTTTAGAGTATTGATTATGAAATTTTGTAAAGCCAGGGCACTATTTGCGAACTTTTTTTGTGTGTCAATTTCCACGCGGTCAAAATCCACGCGGACCAGGCAGCGGACTGGACTCGAACCCTTCGCTATCCGGGCGAATGCACTGACCATTATGCTACCACGGCCCTTTTCGCCGCGTCGAAATTTTACTAGCCTTAAGCTGCAAGGCAGCGCCATCTCTTCGCATTGTAGGTAATCCACAATGTCAAATGAATACTTTTTCAAGTATTAAACATTTGAAAGAAGAAATAGTAATTATAGTTATGTTTTATTTATTTTTAAGCATTTAACTGCTAGATGTTTAAATCTAAAGAAAGTTTACTAGAAAAATTTTTTTCGACGCGGCGAAAAGGGCCGTGGTAGCATAATGGTCAGTGCATTCGCCCGGATAGCGAAGGGTGCGGGTTCGAGTCCCGTCCGCTGCCTGGTCCGCGTGGATTTTTTTTCTAGTAAACTTTCTCTAGATTTAAACATCTAGCAGTTAAATGCTTAAAAATAAAGAAAAACAACTATAATTGCTATTTCTTCTTTCAAATGTTTAATACTTGAAAAAGTATTCATTTGACATTGTGGATTACCTACAATGCGAAGAGATGGCGCTGCCTTGCAGCTTAAGGCTAGTAAAATTTCGACGCGGCGAAAAGGGCCATGGTAGCATAATGGTCAGTGCATTCACCTGGATAGCGAAGGGTGCGGGTTCGAGTCCCGTCCGCTGCCTGGTCCGCGTGGATTTTTTTCTAGTAAACTTTCTTTAGATTTAAACATCTAGCAGTTAAATGCTTAAAAATAAATAAAAACATAAGAACATTTAGTTCAATATCTTTGGTCCTTTTAGAGTATTGATTATGAAATTTTGTAAAGCCAGGGCACTATTTGCGAACTTTTTTTGTGTGTCAATTTCGTTGCTTAAATATATGCCGTTCTTGGGGACGGCCATGGGTACGCTAGCTTGACGTCATGCTAGCCTACACAGTAAATATGGTCTTCATTTCTTAAATTAAAGAGGCACTATTTTTTTCATTTTTACACTAATTTGGCACTATTTACTATTTATTTAATGGCATTACGAAAAACCGTATGTTGATCGTGGGTACGCTACCATCACGGACACGGTAGGGACTCATTTCGCTGAGCCTGAAATCGCATAGAATGCGATTCAAACTTAATTTCGGCTGTGAAGTTAGCACGAGTTGCGGCGCAGGAAAGAAAATATAAGATGGCGCGAGCGGAATATCACTGAACTGAAATCTGACCATAACAGCGTTCGCTTCTAACTTCACAACTGACATAGTTTAAATCGTAACATATCCTTCTTCCTTCTTGCTTCTGGAGGAGGGGAACATGCCTTTACTATAGTCTATTCACATTGGCGTGAGACAAAATGTAAACAAACCATAAAAAGGATACTTTTTAAGGTCACTTTGACAAAAGAAAAGATTAAATACAATTTACATAGGAAATGCAGGGAAACATTAAGTTAAAATTATTTTAAAAGCTGTTACATGCATATGAATAAGAAAATAAAATATTTCGCACTTATTTAACGTACATATAAATATTTCACACTTATTCATCATAAATTCGTATATTTTTATTTTGCTGATAAAAGTATTTTAACAACATAAGTTGACATGGAAAAAGACCTAAAAACACAATGATTCCCAAACTTAAGACGTATTATAATACGACAAAATTTAAGAGTAGACATGATATAAGTATTTTACGTTGAAGTGTTGTGTTTTGTAATCGATTGGTTTACGTTAGCCATCTTTACTCTCCCGATCAACCTGTTGACGCCAGCGTGCATATTCTATCATATTTATTCAATTCTTGTTATATTTGTTGAGTTTGTTGTTATTTTTTTCTGTAAAGTTTAAAGTTGTTAATTTAAAAAAAATTGTAGGTAACATAAATTATACGTAATCTTTGACTAGTGGGAACTTTCTGACATTATATAAGTTTAAGAACCTCAGATTCTTTGTTTACATTTTGTGTCACGCCAAAGTGAATAGACTATAGATACAAAACAAAGTAGATTGAACGGAATCTATGATTTGAACAGTAAGCAGTCAAAAGCCAACGTGTTGGGTAATATGGACGGGGGCGGGTTTGACACCACCATGCCATGCGTATCGAATTTCATCTAGTATTCTTCACATAGCAGGCAACTCTGTCAAATGAGTTACTTTTACAAGTACCAGCATTTGAAAAGAAGAAAAAGCAAAGAAAATTTTGCTCTATAAAATGTTGCTTAGATTTGTAAAAACAGCAGCAGTGTTGTAATGATTGGTCAATTTTAATTTTATTCGAACAGCAAGCAGTGGCCTTAGCCGACGTGTCTGGTAATCTGGACGCGCCCGAAGGCGGGTTCGACGCCATCATGCAGGCGGTGGTTTGCAAGGGCCAAATCGGCTGGCGGGACCAGGCTCGCCGGCTGCTAGTGTTCTCCACTGACGCCGGCTTCCATTACGCGGGCGACGGCAAGGTGAGTGCAGTCGATACGTACAAAGAAGGCAGTGTACCGGTCTTCTGTTAATCTGGACGCCATCATGCAGGCGGTGGTTTACAAGGGCCAGGCAACGATATTTAATACCCTAGGTACAACAACTCGAACAAAACCTGTCCAAAAGGTACATTATACGATACACGGAACTCCGTAAGATGATCGCGTAGTCAAAAACAACATAGTGCATTATTTAAACCAAGGCTGCTCAACCCCAGGCCCGCGGGCCACAGTGTGGCCCGCGAATGAATTTTGAGTGGCCCGCGCAAGTATGGTTGAAAATACGCACCAAATTCACAAATCCCGCCGCGCACAGTACAGCCCCCCCCCCCCTAGAATCGGTAAATCAAATCAAGATAAAGACCAATAACGAATGTGTTTCTGTGGCTATTTTCTATAACGAAGCTATTTTCATTTAGACAATTACATTTATTTTATAATTATTAAGGTTATCTACATTATTAATGACGGAAAATGCAACTCAACATGCAATTTAAAAAAGAAAATCGTATTCTAAAAAACAGGAGATTCATGTAGAAAAACAGTAGAACAGGAGAAATTTCAGAAAAACAGAAGATCTCCTGTAAAATCTGGAGACCTGGCAACACTGCATATTTGTGACTTGTTGTTACTGCCAACGTGGGATTTGTCGCCAAATATAAGTAAATTATTAAAATATCAATTAATTTTATTATTAGGAAGATGTAACAGTTTGTAAAAGTCTTTGCATAACATTGACAATATCATTTTTCTTTGCTTTCTTGGCAATTGCACACTAAAATATTTCAAACAACAAATATTTTTTATAAAGGTAGGAAACAACTTGCTGAGTTTCTTGCCCGTTCTTCTCAGAAAAAGGTCTCCTGGCATAATTTGACATTCATAAGAGTATGTAAATATCGAAACTGCATAAATGATTTGACTTTGACTTTGAATCAAAAAGTTGATTTAGATTTGAGAAGAAACACAGACATAGGTACTAACTTAATTCAAATTTTGTTTCTCTATTTAATAATAATAATATTTAGAATAAGATTCTCTATGTTCCCAATAAACAATAATTCAATTTTATATTCATAATAATTGAGCTTTCATTGCGCTTGTCCAGAGAGTAACTGAAAAAGGAAATGTAAGTGGCCCGTCGTTAACGACTAAATCCACCTTTTGGCCCGACTCTTCAAAAGGTTGAGCAGCCTCGATTTAAACATTCATAGTCACCTTTAAGGCATAGTATTTAAGGACTTAATATAAACGCATGCGTCAAAAAATTATGATAGTTCTAAATGCAAGCTCGTAAATTGTTACGACTTGTTGCTATATGCGGAAGAATATAGACCTTATTTATTTGACTCTACGCGCAATTCTGATGCGCTGTTAGCTATATAGCAGGTACGGACCGCGAGGAAAAGAGACGACTGTTCGGTCCATGCATTTGAATATCACAAATATTTTTTATTAAATCAGTTTATAGTAAGTATTAGAACAAAATTTGCTTTAAATTTATTAAATTAACAATCATTGATTAGATATCTGTCGATGAAACGACACTTTACGTACTATAAGTATTTTTTCGCATTTTTTTCACGGAGATCGGTGGCATCTTGATTTTTCAACGGTCCGCGCGTGACTGTGAACAAGTAGTGCTTGAGTGGTGTTCAAACATTTCTTGATTGGGACACATTTTGAGCGCACGTGGTGTATCTAGGGTATTAAATATCGTTAAGGCCAAGCTGCTACTGTTTTTCATTGACACCGGCTTCGATGCGTGCAAAGAAGGCGATAAACCGGTCGTCTGGTAATCTGGACTTCGATCTGTCTCTGTGATGTTTTACCTGTCTTACAGACAGCTGTAATCACAGACGGTATTTAAAATGTTGATCTCATTTTGTAGTCATGTGTTGTCTTACTCTATTGATATAGCAAAGAATGGATTATAGTATGGAAGTCAATCAGGCTATGGAATAGCAGTAACTTTTAATGCAATGTTTTTGTATGTTACTTAATATATATCTTTGTTCCTAGCTTGGTGGAATTGTGCAGCCCAACGATGGTGAATGTCACATGGAAGATAACTCGTACACGCACTCTACCAAACAGGATTACCCGAGTATATCACAAATCAATCTCAAGGTAAGGAACTTTTACTTATATCACTTAAAACTGCATACCATTAATAAATACAAATCATATTTATGTCAACTCAGTGGCGCAGTATTTGGCATTTTTGGTATATTCTCTAGTAACAATGTCTTTACTTATCATAATATCCTACGTTTTGTATAGTTGCATACATATTTGTGTGGCAGCACTATTTCATAATGAAGTACTTTCAAATATTGATATGAGGGTTTTTTTAATTATTTAACACCTTTTTCAATGTGAGCTGTATAGTCCATAGTTACATGTGAATTTAATACATAAATGATTAATATTCTTTTTATAAAAAAAAAGATATAAATTAGCTTAAGCACTCTCTTCTTGAGAGGAGCTTAAGTAAAGTTGCTTAACTTCCACGATGTTAGGCCGAACGCACTAACCACCTGCGCCATCAACCTCCTCTCAAGAAAAGAGTGCTTCATATTATTTATATTTTATTTATCCCAATGGTCTGTCATTGGATGGGTGAGCAAGGAGTCATTATCTTGAGCTCCTCTAAGCTTTGGAAGGCACGTTAAGCCGTTGGTCCCGGCTGCATCCGCAGTCTTTAGCACCCACCAATTCGCACTGGGCCCGCGTGGTGGATCTCGACCCAAACTCCCTATTCCATCTATAGGGAAGGCCTGTGCTCCAGCAGTGGAGACATTAACTGGCTGATGATGGTGACTCCTTTGTCGTAGGTGAAACAACACGCGATCAACGTTATATTCGCCGTGACATCGGAACAGATCAAGGTATACGAGGAGTTGAGCAAACACATCGAGGGTTCCAGTAGCGGCGTGCTGAGCGATGACTCGAGCAACGTGGTGGAATTAGTACGAGAACAATACAACGTAAGTTTTTCGCGTGACTATACTTCATTTAAGGTAACATTAATAAAAAGGAGCTGAAAGAAGCAGGGTTTCGAAACCTTGCTTGCGGCTGGCGTGTCTCGGGTGCACTGGCTAGATGCCTACTAGCGACGTACCTACTGCATCTCTAGGAGCAACGGCATGTTCAGCTGATTTTACGAATATTAATTAATTTGCGTGTTGTTAGGAAAATAATAAAAATGTATTACTTTTGATGGAGCTATTGTAGTAAATAAACCCTAAAACATTGTGAATATAAATAAAGCAAAAAAAAATGGAAATAATAATTATAAAAATATTTTTTCCGTTGTGTCATATCCAGAATCAGTAACTCTACCCCGTCCTTTTTTTCGGTAGCGTTATCCTCACACCCGGTATATACGCTAACGGCCCCTGCGATTTATTTATTGCCTGTATGGGATATACAGGGAAATCATTATAATAAAATTAATATACTACTAGGCACTATAGTTACGGCGCGTGAATATAAAATTTGAATAAGGTGCGTGCATGCGATTATTCTGGGAGCTCTTGGCAAACTAAATGCGTGACCAACGTGTGGACACACGTCAAATAGCCTTTTTTAACGATTTCACTTTGTATACGCTTAAGAAGCGGACCTATATAGTTTTCGATTAATCAAAAGCAATTTTTACCTCAGATTATGTCACCATAGTCATTGTAAATTACACTACCTTTTGGTGCTAAAGTTGTGTTATTATCGGCGAGTTTAGTTTTCTACTTAACACCAGGTGTAGTACGGTAATTTGCTGCGCCTTGTATAAAAACTCTTTTAATTAAAACATAGTTTATCTTCATAATTATTACATAGACACATACAGTTTTATTTCATTATATTAATGTCTGTTTATAACACAGAAAATAACATCAACAGTAGAAATGAAAGACACTTCAAGTGACGCCGTGGAAGTGGTCTATTACTCGTCCTGCCTCGGCGGAAAGGAGCCCACGCAGACGAACAAATGTGACGGTCTTAAGGTATATTATATTAACGTAGCTAAAAAGCCTTAATTTTAGATATGCTAACCTAGCAAACCACTGAATATGACATTTCAATATACAATAAAGATGTTGATGAGCCTCAACGAAGTTAATTGTTGAGATATTAGAGAAATTTGCAATTTTAAAATGATATTAAAAGTTAGCACAAATTTAAAATAAGTCTGAAGTATATAAATGATATATTGAAATGAGTTGTGATATTTTTTTCATTCATAAGTAGGTTTTTTGTTTCTATTCATTTCTTTTAAACTGTCAGCTTTTCAAAAACTCCCAGGGACGTAGCCCGGAATTGAAAAATTAACAGTCATCTCAACCAGTTTTGGTAAATCGTCCAAAAAAAAAAAACTACTGATTGTCGATTTCACAAACAGACTTCATAATATTGTGATAAATTTTAGGTTGGCGATGTGGTCGAATTCACAGCAGAAATAACCCTGAAGGAGTGTCCGAAAGAATCCAAAAATTGGAATCAGACTTTCCAAATTTACCCTGTGGGAATATCCGAAAACCTGGTGGTGGAAGTGGAAATGATATGCGATTGTCCCTGTGAGCATCCCGGTCATCACGTGAGTATAAAAATGTTGATTTATTTCTTTAATCTAGATTTTTTCTATTTCGATTTGAAGTCAACTTACAATATTACACACTACTTTTATTACATGGAAACATTTCATGTTAGGGAATATTGTTTCTGAAGTCTCAAGACCATAAAGTGTCGCCATATTGCAACCGATTATGATCTTTATTCCCAACCTTTAAGGTTTAAAATCGATTACAGAATTTTGGTCAATTATGTATTTGCAGAGCTGCTTTGTGAATTTCCAGGGTTTTAATTGTTTTACTTTTATCTCATTCGCTTTTCTTTCAAACCTAAATAAAAATGTTAATGTGACGTTACATAATCTCTGTCCCAACTATGATATTAGAGGTATGGCAACGATATTAAATACCCTAGATACAATAACACGAACAAAATCGTAGCCAAAACCTGACCAAAAGGTACATTGGACAAACCACGGAGCTCCGTAATATGATCGCGTAGTCAAAAACAATATAAAACATTATTTAAACATTGAAAGTCACCTTTAATGCATACTGTAAAAGGTTTTAATTAAAACGCATGCGTCAAAGAGTTATGGCAGTTCGAAATGCAAGCTCGTACAATTTTAGGACTTATTGCTATATGCGGAAGAATACTGACTTTATTTCTTTGACTCTACGCGCAATTCTGAATGCGCTGTTAGCAATAAAGCAGTTACGGACCGCGAGGAAAAGAGACGGCTATATAACCGACCATGCATTTAAATATCACAAAGATTTTCTAATAAATCAGTTTATAGTAAGTATTAGAACAAAATTTGCTTTAAATTAACAAACATTGATTAGATATCTGTCGAAAAAACGACTCAATATGTACTATATCTATTTCTTTCGCATTTTTTCACGGAGCTCTGCAGCATCTTGACTTTTCAACGGTCCGCGCGTGACTGGACCAAAAAGTGCTTGAGTGGTGTTCAAGCACTTCATGATTGAGACTCATTTTGAGCGCACGTGGTGTATCTAGGGTATTTAATATCGTAAAGGTATGGCAGTAACTTTGTAACTTTTTTGCTTACTGGCACTAAGCAAGCAACTTACAAACTTAGGCTCTGATCTTTTAAAAGTGTACCTGAAAAACAAAAATATTTACTATTTATGAGAGATATTCCAATTTTTCTCTAGTAATATTAGATTAACTTACCATTTTATTTCTTGAAATGTTATCTTTGAAGCACAAAATAATAATTAACTTCCGAGTAACCTGGTGAGAACAAAATTTAATTCATTCTTTTACTTTCATAAATCATAAAATATCTGTAATGCTGCGTTTTCAATAAGCCCGTAATTGATCTGAACAAGCAAATATTTACTCGCTCAGTAAATGGAAACAACACAGAGAGCGATCGAGGTCGTAGAAGGACTGAGCACAGGGAAGGAAAGCTCTCTTGTTTACTCTTCAATGGAAACAACGCAACTTTGTTTTGAGCATTCCATTTAAAAAGCGAACAAATGTTTAGTCGCTCGGAACTGTATTATCACGCGGCATTACATAAACGGATTTAGAGGTGTGGGGCAACCCCCCGGGTTTGGTTACCCGTCGAATTTTGTTTTTTATTCTCTGCTTTAAGTTCGGCCCTGGGCCCATACTTAGAAATAAAACATTATTGTTATCTATCACGTTAGGCGTACAACGAGAGTCCTCTAGTATGTAGCGGTCAAGGCATATCGGCGTGCGGAGTTTGCCTGTGCAACCCAGGCCGATTCGGTAAAGGGTGCGAGTGTTCGGCCCAAGGCGGGGTCTCGTTGGAACAAGAACGGGGTTGTCGGCCCACTAACGCCACCTTCGGCCCGCTGTGCTCAAACAGAGGCACTTGTATATGTGGAGTCTGCGAGTGCAACAAACTGGATGATCCGCTGAAGGTGAGCTTACTGCATAATTTTTCGATTTACGTAATTTTAAAACAGAATAGGTCCCGATTCGGAAAATGGTGTGAGTGTTCAGCCCACGGCGTGGTTTCGCTGGAACAAGAACGGGGTTGTCGGCCCACTAACGCCACTTTCGGCTCGCTGTGCTCAGAGGCACTTGTATATGTGGTCTGCGAGTGCAACAAACTGACGGTGGACACAAAAGACATTAATTTATTTGTTTTTCTGTTAAATCGCTTGTTCCAATCTTTAATTATAAATAAGTTTTATTGAAAATTTGGAAAATACCCTGCGACATGAACAAGAGCTTGCTTTGCTCGGGGCCGGATCATGGTGATTAGTCAGCGGAACGGCGTCTGCCTTCCGGAATACTCCGGTCCTAACTGTCTTGTACCTTGATTTTTGCGAGTCCCCTATATTTCGCCACTGTTGCAATTGCTATGATCACGGTGTTACCCCTTTTTTGTAAACAGAGTATAGAATAAAAGGTAAATGGCACACTTGGTGCACTTTATCGCCTAAAGAATTTTCTGCCACCGTGCACGAAAATCTCTCTTGTACAGTCCCTTGTTCATCCCCTCTTTGATTATGCTGATGCTTGTTTTACTGATATAAATCAACAATTTCTTAATAAGTTGGATCGTCTTCTCAATAACACTATTCGCTTCGTTTTTGGTTTACGTAAATACGACCACATTTCCGAGTTCCGCAAAAGACTTAAGTGGCTGCCTATTCGAGAGCGTAGGTATTTGAGGACAGCTTGCACCCTTTTCAACTTACTATACGATCCACGCACCCCTGGATATCTGAAATCGCGGTTTCAGTTTCTGGGGTCTTCCCATCGATTAAATCTCCGCTCAAATGATAATTTGATACTTGAAGTACCGATTCACCATACTAGGTTTGTCTCCAGTTCATTCACCCTTACTGCCATTCGGCTCTGGAATGCACTTCCTCTAGACGTTCGAAACGCTCCAAACAGGACGGTGTTTAAGAGTTCGGTGCGGGAACATTATTTGACTATTGCATAGTGCTTAAGTTGAATCAGGATGCTAAAATCGGACACTATATCATAGGTATATTATGTATATATGTGTGTGTATGTATTTATGTTTGTATGTATGTATATGTGTATGTATTAAACGCTATTTAATTTTGTTTTTTCATTGTTTGATGTTTGTTCTTTCCTATGATTGTCTGCCGTTTTATTGACTCTGCACGTTCTTTCCAGTTGACTGGTAGAGAATGCCATGCTGGTATTAAGTCCGCCATATGCAATGTAAAATCATTAAAGATAAAATAAATAAAAATAAATAAATAAATAAAATTTCGTTCGTCAGGTGATATCGGGTCCGTTCTGCGAATGCGACAACTACACTTGCGACATGAACAAGGGTTTGCTTTGCTCGGGGCCGGAGCACGGCGAATGCGTGTGCGGAAAGTGCGTCTGCCGTCCGGAGTACTCCGGACCTGCTTGCGCGTGCTTGAAGGACCAGTCTCCATGCCGATCGCCCGGTGAATATCTTTGTATTTGTACCAACAATATTAAATACCCTAGATACACCACGTGCGCTCAAAATGTGTCCAAATCAAGAAGTGCTTGAACACCACTGCGCCGGATACCTCATCTTTTATATCATTCCTTTATATGTTGTGTCTATGAGTTTTTGATATTTTGTTTATTCCGATTGTTGGTCTCGTTGATATTAATAAAATATTGTTTTAACTTGTCACTGCCTGTTGTCTTTTCTCTTTAATAATAATTAAAAATACAGTCATTATGCTCCACATCCACTCAAGCACTTCTTGGTTCACAGACACGCTCGGATCGTTGCAAGGTCAAGTTGCCGCAGAGCACAGTGAAAAAATGCTAAAAAAAAAAACTTATTGTATGTAATGTGTCGGTTTTTTCGACAGGTATCTATTCAATATTTGTTAATTTTACGCATTTGAAGCAAATTTTGTTCTAATACTTACTATAAACTGACTCAATAGAAAATATTTGTGATATGCAAATGCATGGACTGAATAGCCGTCTCTTTTCATTGCGGTCCGTACCTGCTCTATTGCTAACAGCGCATTCAGAATTGCGCGTCGCATGAGTTAAATTAAGACTATTCGCTATGTGCGAAGTACATGGTGGGGGTATAGTGAAGCGATCGCAGCGCTTATCGTGGCAGAAATACGCAACAATCCGGGAAAGTAAAGTCAATTTGCACGGAGTTCGTAATAAACAAAAATTTTTTAAAATGCCTATTAATAGATGTTGTTGTGTTGTGAATTGCAAAAATAAGGGCACAAATAGTCTGTGTATATATTTCCTACATTGGACTGGAAATTAAATCAAAGAAATAAATGGATAGATGCCATAAAAAGAAATAAGTAAGCGAAATAACCTTAAATTATGATCAATTTTATTTGCGCTATATATTTTATGTGATATTCATTATTGTCTTTATTATTTTAGTGTTGATGGGTCGCCATGGTATCCCAAACCTGACGACACAATTTGTAGTGAACATTTTATGGGAAACAAAAAATCAGACGAGGAAGAAAATCCGAGTTATGCTCCTACGATATTCCCTGAAATATATCGAAAGAGGAAGGTTAATGATTCACAGGTCCTAGCTAGATATACACGCTTGACAAAACGAAGAACCACAAAAGTCTCAGATACCACATCAAGTCAAATAATAATTGAAGAAGGGAGTGAATTAAATCAAACTCAACCTTTTATGATCGATCAAGGATGTCAAGTCAATATGTTTTCTGAATCGAAATTAAAAGATACAACTTTTATTTGTATTAGATTAATTTACAGTGATCACTGTGATGCTGAAATCCAACATCAAGAATTTTAATGACAAATAATTCAAGAAAGAAAGATAAAAGCTGTGGCACTGACAAAAAATCGTATGAGGATCAATCTACCGAAACAAAAAGTCAAGAATTTGTTGGTATTTCATCAATAACAAATGATCAAGAACTCCTAGATCCTTCTGGTGTGTCATTTAGCAATTTTGAGTTTTTATTAACAAGATTAACTATGAAAAAATGTACAGTTTCCACTAAAGACCGACTTCTGATTTTTTTGATAAAAATGAAAAATGGCTTGACATTTTCAGCATTGAGTGTGTTATTTGGTGTACAAAAAAACCACAATCTCACGTATATTTCATTCGATCTTACAAAATCTAGCTTGTTCAACTGCTAATTTAATCTTTTGGCCGAATAGAGCCACCGTACAAGCAACAATGCCCAAGTGTTTCAGTCCAGATTACATCAATACAAGAGTTATTATTGACTGTACTAAATTCCGAATTGAAATCCGACAGTATTTAAATTATTATACAATATATAATAATTTTTATTTATCTTTAATTTACTATATTTACTAGAAATCAATAAAATACAAACTGATGTCATTATTTGGCATAATCCCGGAAAGTTGCGTATTGTAGGTGGCGCTCTGTCGTGCACATAGCGAATACAGTATGCATTAAAAGTAGTGTCCGACCGAAGGTTCGGTTTCGGTTTCGGTTTTGGCCGAGTTTCGGCCAAAAATCAAGTTTCGGCGGCAGTTTCGGTATCGGCCAAAATTGGCCGAAACTTTTGCCGAAACCGAAACTGATTACGGAAGTTGTCGTGCAGGCTCGCCTAACTTCGTTTCTCGCGGCAACGCATTGGCGGACGCTGGCGGCCCTGATCGGGAATTCTCGTGCGCCGTTCGGATAGCTCCGTAGCACACACAACTTAGTGCGTTATCGCCCGATGCAAACATTCTTTAGAGGTTATGTTATGATGGAACTTCTAAGAGATTTATGATTCTTCTAAGTACAAATACAAACCAAAGTATTGATAAGATTTCAAAATACCAATACTTAGTATTTAATGAAACAGTAAAAATTAGTGATTTGATTATTGATAAAGCTGATAAAAAGGAGATTGCTCAAATTGGCCCAAATGCATAAAAAATATTGACATACACGGTAATTCTTGGCGTAATTTGTAATTTAATTTACAGTCATTAGATTTCAACGGACACCTTTGTATAATATATTCACTTTAAAAAGGACTTTTCCTTTTACCGGTTTGGAAAACATATGAATCATTTTTAATGGCTATGGGTGTAGTAACATTCAGCCAAAGACTGATCGAAGTTGTTTATATAACATAAAAACAAATCTATTTTGTAAAGATCGATAAAATAAATATTTTTTTTATTACACTGTGGTATTAATATCCACAACTATATTATCATTTTCACTAGATGCAAATGTGCTCAGACAATTATTATAGATGGTAGGCGACATCATAAAGTCTATTGCCATACATTTTTCGCCAAACACCTCCATAAACACATTATAATCTGTTTAGACTTTAAGGTATCTATTTATGAGCCTACGTTGCCTGACTATAAATAAATAAAATAATAAGGTGTGATACACTAAAAATCACACACACAATCACAAAAAAGCGCGTCCGTCCCTTGGAAGCAGCGCTGCTTCAGTGACAGGGACCTATCGGGCAGTGCCGTTGCCATTACTGAGGAGATCATAATGGGTATGGAATACTATATCCGTCATTCTGATCTCGTCAGTGAGGGCACACGTAAACTCTGGTTCAATCACGACTGTGCTGAAGCTGCTTCGCGTAAGCAAGCGGCATATCGTGCTTAGATCAGAGGCCGCGCTCTCAAGGATCCCGGGGTCGATTCACTCAAAGCAGCCTACAATTCTGCTTCCAAGGCCTGTAAGAAGGCTTACATCAGAGCGGATGCCCAGCGTGTTGCACGTGTTGGCCAGGAACTTATAACGCATCCTGCGGGCTCCCGTAGCTACTGGCGTTTGGCCAAGGCCGTGCAAAAAAACTTCTGCCAGCCCTCGCTGCCACCTCTGAGATGCCCAGACGGAACACTAGCTCATAAGCCGCAGGAGAAAGCCGATTTACTGGCAAAACTCTTTGCGGTTAACTTCCGAATCGATGATTGCAATGCACTGCCACCATCATTACCTCACTGTGGCACAACGATGCCTGATATTAAAATCAGGCAGCGTGAGGTTCGTGCCGAATTGCAATCACTCGACGTCCGGAAAGCTAGTGGACCTGATGGCATCCCAGCAGTAGTACTTAAAAAATGTGCAGCGGAGTTGTCTCCCGTGCTCACGCGCTTGTACCAATGCTCGTATTCTTTGGGGCGTGTGCCGGAGACTTGGAGAGATGCTAACGTGCAACCGGTGCCCAAAAAAGGGGATCGCTCAGACCCGGCAAACTATCGGCCAATAGCAGTCACCTCAGTTTTATGTAGTTCTAGAAAAGGTCCTTAATAACCATCTGACCCGCTACCTAGAGGATCACTCCCTGATTAATGATCGTCAATATGGATTTAGACCGAAACGATCGACGGGTGATCTTCTAGCGTACTTAACACATATCTGGGGTGAGGCTATCGACAAGCGTGGCGAGTTGTTGGCTATCAGCCTTGACATTGCCAAGGCGTTCGACAGGGTCTGGCACAAAAGCCTTCTCTCCAAGCTTCCGGCATACGGTCTGCCAGCCCAGTTCTGTTCTTGGGTAGCTGACTTCCTGCATGAGCGTAGAATTCGTGTCGATTCCTTACGGATGGTAGCAGTTCGCGGTTCATGTCAGTGAATGCCGGCGTTCCCCAGGGCTCCGTCCTATCCCCCACTCTCTTTCTGCTGCATATCAATGACTTGATTCCTCTTGGGAATATTCATTGCTATGCAGACGATAGTACAGTGCATGCGGGGTATCTCGGACAAGCAGCGGCTGGGCAGGCAGTAACCAGGGAGAAACGGGAAAATCTTGTCATTGAACTCAATCAGGCTTTGGACCACATTTCCGAATGGGGTACCAGGAGCTTGGTTGGGTTCAATGCCAAGAAAACTCAGGCTTGCGCTTTCACGGCAAAAACATCGCCATTCCTTCCCCTTCCATCTCTTCAGGGCACAACACTACCGCTGCAGAGCAACATTTCCATGCTCGGTATGGAAGTTCGCTCAGACCTGAATCCAAAGGACTACATCGAAACCGTGATCAAAACAGCTTCACGCAAACTCAGAGTCCTGAACAAGGTGCGGCGTTTTTTCACGCCCGATCAACTGTGCTTGTTGTACAAAACGCAAGTGCGGTCCTGAGTGGAATATTGCTCGCACCTCTGGGATGGCTCCGCCAAGTACTTGCTCGATGCTTTGGATAGGTTACAGCGGCGCGCGATCCGCATCATAGGCGATGAGGAGGTGACTAAACACCTTGAGCCTCGTCAATTACGCCGTGACGTGGCGTCACTAAGCGCGTTCTATCGTTTGTACCACGGCGAGTGTTCTGAGGAGTTATTCTCGCTTATCCCACCTTCCCCTTTCCTTCAAAGGACCACGCGCGCTGGCCTACGTTGTCACCGTTTTACTGTGGCCACAATTCCAACGCGTACAAAGAAATTTGGTGACTCATTTCATTGTCGCACTATCCGTAAATGGAATGCTCTGCCCGCTCACGTGTTCCCTCCCTCTTACAACCTGGGATCCTTTAAAAGAGGCGTGAAGATGCAACATGCAGGCCGGCAGGGTGAGGGTGGCTGGTGTGGCAGGTAGAACTGCTGTATCAGCTATCTTTGCGTCTGGACTTCACTTTCACTTAACATCAGGTGGGGTGGAGTCATTTGTCGGACCTAACTATAAAAAAAAAAAAAAAAAAATTGAAGCTACTGAATATATGGCTATATAACCTAAACCTCTTAGCTTTCTTTGGTTAACGAGAGTTGAAAAATTCTCTCTAATCTGTGGCTCATTCACAATCATCACAGTTTCTGTCACAGAGTACCTTATAACCGGAAATGCATATTGACACCTGATTTTAAAAGTTACTCTTATGCATTAACTTTAAAAACAGGCAACTATCTGTTAATTTACATGCTCTATATACCTGAATCTAATCCATAATTTCGGTACGTGGCTTGATTTCCCTAGTTTACTATATAACTTATTTGTTTTTTATTATTTTAATATGTTCAGTGTATATGGTTTATAGAAGTTCTCAGGGGTATCCGTCAATAATATTAGTTTTTACAGTAATTTATATGTAATTTCGAATCTAGGAAACAATTTTTCATGATTATTGGTCTTTAGGCCAAACATGTATGGAAGCTGAGCAATCTCCTTTTGCTATGAGAACTTTATTTGTATTTTTTTTTAATATTTTTAATATTTTTTTATATTATATTAAATAACTGATAAGAACAAAATTAAAATACCTACTGTGTTTCCATTTCATGCCCTAATTAATGCAGAATAATCGGTAAAATGGACCAAATTTCAGTATTTTAAGGAATTTTATACTTGACCACGTGAGTTTCGGTTTCGGTTTCGGCCGAAACTGAAGCCACGGCCGAATGTTCGGTTTCGGTTTCGGCCGGAAAACCAGTTTCGGTCGGACACTAATTAAAAGTGACTTTCAATGTTTAAATAATGCCTTATATTGTTTTTAACTACGCGATCATTTTACGGATCTCCGTGGATTGTATCGTACCTTTTGGACAGGTTTCGGGCACGATTTTGTTCGTGTTGGTGTATTTAGGTTATTTAATATCGTTGATTCATACTAATATTTTTAATGCGAAATTGTGTTTGTATGTCTGTCTTTCTGTCTATCTGTTCTCTTCACGCTTTAACAGTTGAACCGATTAAAATGAAATTTGGTATATAGAGAATTTCAGTTTCAGGGAAGAGCATAGGATAGTTATTATTGGGGCGGAAGTTTGTATGTAATTTTTTTATCACACAGACAAAGTCGGGGGTCCTACTAGTTTTAATTTAAATGTTTCTTATAGGCAATCAGCTCAGCCACAAAGAAAGCAGTGATAGGCTTGTGTTGTGGTATACTAGGGTTACAGATAAAATAAATAATATACAGATACATATATAAGTATATTCATATTAATAAGTATATAAAAATATCCATGACTTAGGTACAAATGCTCTTATTCATCACACAAACATTTGCCTCACCGGGATTCTAACCCGGTGACCTCTGAGTAGGCGACACGTTGAAAACCAGCGTAGATACCACTCGAGCCACGGAGATCGTCAAATATTTCCTTATTTGAAGATACATAGAATCCTTATTATTGATTTTCCATTGAAATAAGTGGCAGAAGGAAATAATTTTTAATTTCTGTTGTGCAGAGAATGGTGATATTTGCAGCGGGCACGGCAAATGTGTTTGTGGCCAGTGCGTGTGCAACGTCGATGACGATCATCATTACTCGGGAACGTTTTGCGACAAGTGTCCGGTAAGTAAAATCTATGTTATGTATTTACTCGTGATGAGGATATAAATAAATAAATAAATATTTTCAACACTCACACCAATTTGCCTAGCCCCAAAGTAAGCACTGTAAGACTCGTGTTATGGGATACTAGGGTAACGGATTGAATACATATACTGTACATATATAAGTATATTTATATAGAACTACATATTTAACATCCATGACTGGAGTACAAATGCTCGTATCCATCATACAAACATCTGCCCTCACCGGGATTCGAACCCGGGACCTCTTGAGTCGGCGTCACCATGAAACCCAGCGTACAAACCACTCGGCCACGGAGGTCGTCAAAATATAAATGAATATTAAAAATGCGAAAGTAAGTTTATTTATTTTGTAACTCTTCTCTTCTTTTGTATATTCATTATCTAAAGCCATGCTACATACATACATGGCAATAATATGAGTACTTGTGTATATTGCTTATAACAACTATCGGGCATAACGTCCGAAGTTATATGGTCCCTTCAATGTCGCTATATCCGGTTTCGTCTGTATTAATATAGAAAATGGGGTACAAAACTTGAGATTAGGTTAGAACTGTGGCCTTAAAAGAGCTCATATGCGCATTTTTGTCAATTTTGGTACTGCCGCGGGCCTAAAATGACGATGAAATATCTTCAATTGCTTTCTTTTATTATTCATCCTTCAATTTGACAAATAACGTTGCCATCTGATGTTTCATGAAATATCTTACGGTGGCCATTTACTATCATGCCGCTTGATCAAAGAGGCTTGATTAAGGCGAAATCCTTATGGAAAGTGGCATGTCCTTCCAAAATGTCTCCCCACATGCGGTCAGCTTGGCTTGATCAGGCGGCAGAGTGGTGAGTGGCCACCATTACCATTTTAAGATTTGAACAAAAAAAACTTTGTTATGAATACAAATCCACACGTATATTATAATTGTATTGTAAAATTGAAAGTGTGTGTGTCTGTATGTCAGCTACATCATCATGATTAAACTGCTGAACCGATTTAGATGAAATTTGGTACAGAGATATTTTGGACCCCGGGGGAGGACATAGGATACTTTTCTTCCCCGAATTATCCTTTAAAAGGCTGAAAAGGGGGCTGGAAATTTAAATGGGAAACCAATATTTTCACACAGACGAAGTCGCGGGCACCCACTAGCAAACAATATTTCAAACATTCAGTTTTGCTATTTTAGAATACATACTTCCTTTTTCGATTTGTTCAAAATTTCAACTTCAAATCACTCTTAGAGATGTTAATATTTTATTTGATATTATCTAATATATAAAATTTTCGTGTCACGGTGTGCGTAATTGAACTCCTCCGAAACGGCTCGACCGATTTTCGTGAAATTTTATAGGCATATTCAGTAGGTCTGAAAATCGGACAACATCTATTTTTCATCCCCATAAATGTTATGGGTGGTCCACACTTAAAATTTTTTGTTTGGACAAAATATTTTATTTTTATTTTTTTATGATACATCTTACAAAAATACATACAACCCTAAATTTTCACCCTTCTACCACCAATCCTAATTTTTATGGCGTTACGAAGTTCACTGGGACAGCCAGTATGATTATACTATATTATTACTATACAGACTTGCAAGGGTAAATGCGGCCAGTTCAAGGATTGCGTACAATGCGAGGCGCACAACCGCGGGCCCCTGTACAACCCCGACGAGGTGGAGGGCAACCGCTGCCCCAACTGCACGCTGTTCCCCATCATTGTAGAGGGGAAACTCGAAGGTTGGTGGTGTTTCAACGAGTAACATAAATTGTGGTGTCAGTGCAAAAGTGGCCTAACCCTCAATTATTCATAATTCTGATTCATCTTCTACAATTAAATAAAAATGTGTTAAAATTTAATTCCAAATCGTCATTCAATTCAGGCGTCAATAAATGGCGTAACAAAAATTATTTTCGGCGTTGCAAAAGTTATTTTTGCATTGATTTTTTTCTCTTAACGTAAAGTTCATAAGTGGCCTAAGCCGCTTAATCAGAATATGAATAATTGAGAGTTAGGCCACTTTTGCGCTGACCGCCTCAATTTCAGTTTTAACAGTCGTACTCATAAGATAAATAACTTTTAAATATGATTTAAGCTATTGCTACCACTTTCTTTGCTATAACAATTTGACAGAATTTGTGGCAGTCACAATTTTGCCAAAGAGAAAGAATAGGAAGAAGAGTAAGAAATCACGGTATTTTAAATGACATCAATTTATTTGATATACCCCCTTCTTAGGGGCCTCTCTTGGCAACAATTGGGGCTGATAACAAATTTTTCGAATAAAACAAAGAAACACGCCAATTTGTATAACACAATATCGGGCAATTAATTTAACTACAGTATTTAAATTTTGTTCTAAAATTTTATTTGTAAATGTTTCAAATGTTAAATATAAACATGAATACAAAAGACAATGTTAAAATTGGCCTAAGAACCAACACCAATTTGGCATTTATGATAATTCTTAGTATATTTTTTGCGATAATTAACAGTATTTAGATTGTGACGGACACTTCCAGTTAAGTAAGCGAAATTAAAAAGTTAATAAATAATCTGAGACAATAAATGCCATTTTATGTGTATAATCTATGACAGCGCTTCAAACAAAACACTCTTTCTTCCTAATGCCGGCATTTCACTTGGCTGTTCGTATTTGCTATTTAAAAACATGACATCAGTCTGTTCTTTTCATTCCTTATTAAGCATGACAAGGATGAACTATATCAAGTGAAGTGCCGGCATAAACATAATAAATGATTAAAAACAAACCACTTTAATTGTTATTCATATTACTAATTTGCTAATGAAATAAATTGCTGTTACAGCGAACGAAACTTTGAACGAGCATTTGTGCAGTTTCTATGATGAAGAGGACTGCTTATATTTGTATGTGTACACTTACGACGAGAATCAGCGGTTGGTTATACGAGCACAGAAGGAACGAGAATGTCCTAAGAAGGTAATTCATTCAGTTTACAACCGTTTTAATATCCCCAATTATCTTTATATTCCAAGATACTTTGCCCACTTTGTAAAAGACTGTTCTAGATAGAATGGTTCGCTTTGGCAGGTGTTTATCTTGGGCATAGTGCTGGGCGTGATCGCGGCCATAGTGCTGGTGGGACTGGCGCTGCTGATGCTGTGGAAGATGGTCACCACCATCCACGACCGCCGCGAGTTCGCGCGCTTCGAGAAGGAGCGTATGATGGCCAAGTGGGACACGGTGAGTGACGTCTTATATCATTGTCTCTGTTGTAGCGGGTCTAGTTATACGCTGGGCGGGTCGCGGCTATAGTGCCGTGAGTGGCGTCATATATCATTGTCTCTGTTGTAGCGGGTCTAGTTATATCACGGAGTACCCCCACTAGAGTCCGCATCACGCAAATTTTGTTTGAAATCAAAATCGCCAAAGTCGGCGGCGTGCAGGGAGATCAGCCGCGTTGTGATTGGACACGTCAAGGTCAGATGATATACTCAGTGCAGCGAAGTGATGAGGGTAAGATCGATTTTAGAAAATATCGATATTTTCTATCGATAAATAAAGGACACCCGGCATTATGTGCCAAAGTTGTATACTTTTTTAATTTTTTTATCTGTGTTTCATAATTGGGTAACGTAGTCTGGCAATATTTGTCATCAGCAGCTAGCTGTCAATGTCAAATACGTAGGTTTGTCAATATAACCTCTATATGTAGCCGGGTCGTCAAGAGAAATAACGGATAAAAAGGCAATCACAGCAGAGAACATTCACAATCACAGTACGCGGGAGCGAATGATTTTTTTGTTTGTATTTTAGGATTGTCAAATTGACATTTGGTTTTTTATTTAGAAAAAGCAAAGGAATCATGGTTTTTACAGTCACTTGAGTAATATTTTCAAGTAAAATTCTGTCCCTTGAAGATTTAGGGTTTCCATATCAAAAAATATTAATCATTATATAACTTCTTTCCACGATTCACTAAAAATAAGGCAAAATTAGTTTTATGTAGCAAATAATTTTGGCTTCATTTTGAGACCAAATTCAACTGTATACAAGTTTAGCATTTTTTCTATGAAAAGTGCCGGATCTCCATTGTACAGAGGCCTAGTACTTTGGTGCGCTAGTGTAGCTATGCGCAAACATACTCTCTCCACTTTGTTCCAGCGTTCTAATTACATGACGCGACTAGTAACTACATACTAAATAAAATATAAGCAACACAAAAAACACGTAAAAAAATATCTAGATAGACAATAATATGCTGTTTATGACAACTTTTAAAACTTAAGGCGCCTTACTCATCGGCTCGGTACGGGTTCGTTTTGTTTGCGGGAGTGACTGTCAGTGGTAAAGTGACGAGAACATATGTAACTGTTTACAGTTGGAGTCCAATCTTTACGTTTAGTTGCACTTATCCAAAGTTCCTTCATCTTGGCACATTTTGGAAACCTATGAAATAAATAAAACACGTAATGTTACTGTATTTTGATTCTCGCATCAGTCTGTAAGATATCACCTTAAATATCTCTTTAAAGATTTTGCTCGTTGCTGTTCTCGTGAAAGGCACATGCGATATACAGACTTAATGAATTTAATATTAATACGGTGACGTCCGTGGCTCTTGACTTAGCACACGCAAAATAACCTAAGTATAACCAAATTATTGATTTTGAAGGAACTTGGTAAATACTTATCAAATTTTATGCTAGCTACCACCCGCGACTTCATCCACGTTAACTTTAGTTTTTTGAAAATCCTAAAGAAACCTGACATTTTTCCGTTACAAAAAGTATTCTATACAACGATATTTTATACCCTAGATACGACAACATGTACAAAACCGTGGCCGAAACGTGACCAAAAGGTACATTTGACGATTCACAGAGGTCCGTAAGATGATCGCGTGGTCAAAAACAATGTAATGCATTATTTAAAAAAAAGTCACCTTTAATGCATACGGCATAAGCTCTTAATTAAAACGCATGCATCAAAGACTTATGGCAGTTCAAAATGCAAGTTCCTAAAATTTTACGACTTATTGTTATATGCAAAAGAAAATAGACCTTATTTTTTTAACTTTTCGCGCTCAATTCTGAATGTGCTGTTAGCTATTATAGCAGGTACAGACCGCGAAGAAAAAAGACGGCTATAGGGCGACGAATAACCGACCATGCTTTTGAGTATCACAAATATGTTATATTAAATCAGTTTATAGTAAGTATTACAATAAAATTTGCTTCAAATGCGTTAAATTTATAATAATAATAAAAACGTTTATTTGGCTCAAATTATATAAATAACTTATTGTATTACATAAAGATGACTATGTACCAAATTATAAAAACATTAATTAGATACCTGTCGAAAAAACAACACTTTACGTACTATTAGTATTTTTTTCGCATTTTTACGGAGCTCTGTGGCATTTTGACTTTTCATCGGTCCGCGCGTGACTGTAAACCAAGAATTGCTTGAATAAAGTTTAAGCACTTCTTGATTGGGACACATTTTGAGCACTTGTGGTCTATCTAGGGTATTTAATATCGTTAATTCCATGTCTTTATCTACGTCATAAAGTATGCGCACTTAATTTCATACAAATCGGTTTAATCATGTAATAGTAACAAACATCCATACAAATTTTCGGGTTTAAAATTTTAGTACGATATGATTAAAAACTGTTGGTTGTATACTCATGATATCTGTTATTGTATACGATGAAATAAATAGTTTTTATTTATTTTTTCTTTTTCCGTAGCTGACAAACTTATCGATAAACTTACGGGTACAGACATGAGCTGCGTCAAGTCACTAGCAATACACGTGCCGGTGTGAGAGCGGAATAGCATATATGATGTAGCGCATGCGAGAAAGGGATAGTGTTAAAAGTCATCAACGCGTTCACCAAAAAATAAATACAATTAAAAGCAATTTCATATAAGAGTATTTTTGTCTTTTTGTAATGCATTTAAACTTACCGGTGAAAAGTAATACCATCTTTTTGAAGACTGGAAGTTTTACTCCACTTTCCACATAATTTAATTGCACAGTACGGCATTTTTTCTAGTTTTTTAACGCAAAAACGAGAGAAGCACTTCTGCTAACGCTCGGCTTCGGAATGAAACGATGTATAGCGACGTCTGTGGGCGTGTCTCACGCATACGTAATATACTACTTAAGCTTGGCGTAAGCGCTTGCCCTTGTATGCGGACTCTAGTGGGGGTGCTCCATGAGTTATATGCTGGGCGGGTCGCGGCTATAGTGCCGTGAGTGACGTCATATATCATTGTCTCTGTTGTAACGGGTCTAGTTAAATGCTGGGCGGGTTGCGGCTATAGTGCCGTGAGTGACGTCATATATCGTTGTCTCTGTTGTAGCGGGTCTAGTTAAATGCTGGGCGGGTTGCGGCTATAGTGCCGTAAGTGACGTCATATATCATCGCCTCTCTTGTAGCGGGTCTAGTTATATGCCGGGCGGGTCGCGGCCATAGTGCCGTGAGTGACGTCATATATCGTTAGAAGTTATTTATTTTATTTGTTTATTCTCACAGGGCGAGAACCCCATTTACAAACAAGCGACGTCGACATTCAAGAACCCCACGTACGCCGGTAAGTAATGCGACAAGAAAACGAAGAAGCGACCGCAAATTAAAGCAGATCTTGAATAAAACTGAGTTAAATCTGGGTTTAACTCCACATTACATCAGTTGCATTTCAAAGACTCCTTCGTCGAAGTTATATTTTAGGCTTCGTGCTGACGAATATAAATTGTTGCCTTAAGTAGTGCCTTTTCTACTTGAATTTTTATAAATTAATTGTGCTTGAAGAAATAATGTGGACGAAATTATCGAATAGTAGTTTTCGTTTTTTCTATAGAATATTCGCAGTTTCACCATGTTATACTTTATAATAGGCTTTTGTCTCCTATAAACGCCGTAAAGAGACCACAACAATACATTTATATAGTAAACATCATGACGCGGCCTACGGCGTTTATAGGACACCAAAGCCTTACCTTTAATACTTTTTCTCAGAATAATGACTGTATATAGAAGATTTAAACCATACCTTCAGAGTTGTGAAAGAGAGATGATGTACCCATCTCATTACAATATATTTTCCAGGTGTCTGGTGAAAATTGTGCTGACCAATTCTTTTTTACAAATATTATTCTGAGACTTATTTATTTCAGGAAATTTTATAGATTTCTACATCTACTCCACAGTGAGCTTACGTCAAATAAATGTTAAAAGTGTTTAAAGTTCGTAAAATTATTGCAGAATATTGTGTAGTAGAAATGCTAATTATGCTTGAATTATATAAAATTAAGGGATATAAAGTAATATCGTTTACACTGTGGACCCTACGACGCTACAAATAAGGTTTGGATTAATCTCTAAAGAACGTATGCTTTCTGGTATGTACTTATGTGTGTGATTGTCGTATGTACTTATGTGTGTAGTTTGCATATTACCGTTGTGAGATGAAGAAGATATATTTGTGAAGAATATGTATTTAAGTTGTAGATGCTTCGTCATGTTTCTTTGCTAGTGTTAACATTAATGATGACTTGCATTTAAAAATTGTTGCTAAATATTATTAGTTGAAAATAAGTTGCCGCACATTTTCAATAACATATTTAACAATTTAAGGTTGATTTAACGTATTAAAAGAATTATCAATACATTAATCAATCCCTCGCGGTATAGAATAGACGTTTTCACGACTGATTTTTCTGAAGTTAAAAAAGGGGACGGCAATGCATGACCGATAATTGTTTGGAATAAATTCGCCAGTGGGACTAATTTATAAACTATTATCGAGATCGAGTCCCAGCGATTACAGCCTTTATAACATTACACATTGGAACTAAAGCCCCATATAATTTAAATCTTGGTTTTGCAAGGTTCTAATTATATCAACCATAGTGGCGAACTTTATTATAATAATAATTATCGACAATCAAGTCAAACATGCAAGTCGCGCTTATATAAATTCTTCCAGAGAAATAATAGTATTGTCAAGAAGCACATAGTAAACCTTATATCTTAAAACTTCATATATTAAAATACATATGTAGTAATAAGTGAAATATCTAGATGGTTGTTAGGTAAACTATATTTAATTATTATCAAGTATGTCACTGCCAACAGCCTTTGTTGTTAAAACATTATGATTATTTAAATTTAAGGCCAAAGTTTATAGGAAAAATAAAAAAATCCGAATATAAATCGAATGATCGATAGGTAGGCTCTACCATATACGATGACGACAACACCACCGAGTATTTCGTTCTGTTATGACTTAGTTGGAAATTTTGAAATAGCATCGCTTATGTTTTCTGCTTACATTCCGGTACACAGTGCGGATATTTTTTATACTAGGTAATACATGTATACTTCTAACAAACAACTTCCTTGTTTCTATTTATCATAAAAAGTAACGCTATCCACACTGAATCTTATTATAAATCAAACAATTTATTGTAAAATTCTAGAACAAAGAAAATGATAGAGCGTCATACTTGGTACGGAGTTGCAAGCACACTTTTAGCGAGTTTATTGATATATACATTGTAGAGAAGTAGCTTGTTACTGGTGGGTGCCTTATAAAAATAGCTGTTATTAAACTAGTGCCATTACTAATACTAAAAAGTCTTATACTATTTATTACTATTTAAAATAATGTTTAACGTTTAGAAAGTAACGATCTAATGAAGTACCCAATATTTACATTTTATATGAAATAAATACGAATAAATAATGCATTTTATATTCCTTTTTATGTCATTATAATGCTTTAGACGTCAGTCTTGCCTTTTTATGTATTTTACCCTTTTATCGTGTATGTTCCGAATCTCTGAAGAATTTCATGGGAAGTTTTATAGATTTTTTATAATGATTTAATTTTTTCATTGACTTTATACTTTATGAGAGCTATGTTTTAATATTATTAAAAAGATTATTTTTAGGTTCTTTTGTTTGTATATATTATTTAATTTAGTTACATACGGATTATGTACGTCAAAAAATATTTTTAAAATTCGTGGTCTCTAATAGTAGCTAATAAAAATTAACTCAAAATATTCGAGTTTTATTTAATATCTATATAGATAGCGTAATATTTTTCGATTTCCAAATGAAAACATGAAAACTAAAAAAGTTCTATAGAAAACCATACCTTGGATTTCTCTAGAACTTTAACCATTGTGATCTTTTCGCAAATAGCTACCACTTCATATAAAAGCACATGTCCATGGCAGCATCACAAGGTGGCGTAGATGGAACGATATTGTTAAGTATAATCGCAACTCTAGCATGTTATTTAAGCTCTTCTACACCCGTTCATACTATGGCTAATGTAGTTATAAAAGAATAGATACCAGTACCCCTATCACGAACCATTATCGAAGTCGAATAGCTGGCGAGTACGAAATGTCATTTTCAAATATGTACTGATTTTTAGTTCTCGTTACGTCCGTTTTGGCGCTGAACTCCGTCCGTTTGAACTAAAAATCAGTACACATTTGGATGATCAGGACAATGACATTTCGGACTCGCAAACGATACGAATTCGATATTGGTTCGTGCTAGGGGTACTGAACTTAAATACTTAAGTTCCAGCCTGAGCATACTGAATCAAGTAGAATTTATCTATTAAAGTTTTCTTTAAAAAACTAGCAGTTCATTGAATGCAGAAATGCTTAAAACAAAATAAAAACATAACTATAATTGCTATTTCTTCTTTCAAATGTTTAATACTTGAATAAGTATTCATTAGACATTGTGGGTTACCTACAATGCGAAGAGATGGCGCTGCCTTGCAGCTTAAGGCTAGGAAAATTTCGACGCGGCCATCAGGGCCGTGGTAGCATAATTGGTCAGTGCATTCGCCCGGACTGCGAAAGCTGCGGGTTCGAGTCCCGTCCGCTGCCTGGTCCGCGTGGATTTTTTTCTAGTAAAACTTTTCTTTAGATTTAAACATCTAGCAGTTAAATGCTTAAAACAAAATAAAAACATAACTATAATTGCTATTTCTTCTTTCAAATGTTTAATACTTGAAAAAGTATTTATTTGACATTGTGGGTTACCTATAAGGCGAAGAGATGTAGGGATGTCGAAAGTTGAAAAAAATATCGATACATCGATATTTTAAAAAATATCAATATCGGCTTCGATATATCGCGAAAAAAACATCGATATATCGATATATTGGACCAATTTTCCCAAAAATATCGCTCACGAAATATGACACGTGGAATAATAATGGAACGAAAATTATCTCCCTAAAAATAGACCCTATTTTCGAATGATGACATAGACAATACTAAATACCGCACAGATCATTGATATGTTGTATATCATTAATCTGAGATCCAGTTACGATTTTTCCAGATACGAATTAAGATCGTGATATGCCGCTAGTAATTAAAAAAATATCGTTTTTGATACGAATTTCGATATTGGTTATTTTGTATCGATGTATCGATATATCGAATCAAAATATATCGGCAAAAAATATCAATATATCGAACAAAAAATATCGATATATCGATACATCGATATATTTTCAACAAGCCTAAAGAGATGGCGCTGCCTTGCAGCTTAAGGCTAGGAAAATTTCGACGCGGCCATCACGGCCGTGGTAGCATAATTGGTCAGTGCATTCGCCCGGATTGCCAAGGGTGCGGGTTCGAGTCCCGTCCGCTGCCTGGTCCGCGTGGATTTTTTTCTAGTAAAACTTTTCTTTAGATTTAAACATCTAGCAGTTAAATGCTTAAAACAAAATAAAAGCATAAATATCATTATAATAAAGACAAATTATTACTCTATCCTCTGCCCCCCCCCCCCCCCCCCCCCCCATTTCGATTTAAATCTGCCCCCTTGAGGAGGCAGATTTGAACAAAATTGTGTTTAAAAAAAACACATTATTTCTCTTTAACGTTTTCAGCAAATTCAAACATTTCATCATTTTTATGTTAACAAAGGAGCAAGTAAGCTAAGAAAACTGTTTTTTTTAATTTCGAAAAATGTGCTAATGTGCCTCCCTCTACCCTACGTGATCCACTTTTCATCACCAGTTATCAGCTTCTTCAAAAATGGTTCGGTTTCATTACGTCCTAATGAAGAATCACAACACGGTTCATTAAGTTTCTTTTAGTGTTTTAGTGAGCTCGTGTGCAGGGAGTAGCTACCGCCGTATCTGCCGTATCAATGATACGGGGCCCCCGGGCCACGGGGACCTCCAACCTCAGATATGAGGAAACGAGGAAGAAAAAGAAGACTAATGTCAACCGGTAGTTGGAATGAAGAGTGACGAACATCTGTTTGTTTTATAAAAATTGGATTAAGTTCATGTGCAGTGGCGGATTAAGGCGTTGAGCAGACGACGGGGCGGGGCGGGCATTTTGTCCGCGAAGCAATAAAGACCGCGTCTGCCCGTCGATGTCTGCGGCTGCCTGCGCCGCGTACACAAAGCACACGACGGGCAGAGGCGGTTAGTTTAGGACGTTCGTTCTAGTGAACCGCCGCGACATTGTGGGTCCGCCGTGAGCTGACCGCCCCGCGCCGCCGTCTGCGTTACTGCATATAAACTGGTTTGCATGATCCACGGCGGGCAGCCGCGGACATGCCGCGCCGCCACTGCCCGCCGGGCACCTGCGGCACGGTCTTTTTGCCCTCTGTGTGCGTTTGAAGTATAGGATTCACTTTGTGCTATTATTCGCGGCGAAATTGACCGGCCCGCCCCGCCCCGTCGTCTGCTAAACGCCTAAACGTTGAGAGTGCCGTAGGCAAGCATCTCATCGGGCGCCCCTATATTAAAAACTAGTGACCCGCCCTCGCATCGCTTCGGTGTAGAGCTGTAGTGAAGGTACACTATAGTTTTTGTTTTCAGGCTTGTATTATACACAATGAATTTCCCATGAAAGTTAATTTAACTGTTAGAGAAAAGAATATTGTTGCGTACTTTAGTACCCGTTGTAGCGAATGCACAATTTTTTTGATTGAACGCACAAATGTCAGGGAGTGATGGTCCGATTTGAAAAGTCTTTTTGTGTTAAATAGTGCATTTATTGAGGAAGGAGAAGGCTCTAAAACATCACACTGTGACTGGTCATATAATGGTAAAATGTTGCTAACTTTTTTGAAAATACTCTATAGCATATGTTTATCAGGGATAATGTAGCATTCAAATGGTGAAAGAATTTTTAAAATCGCTCTAGTATTTTTTGAGCCAATACGTTACAAACATACATACAAATTTTTCCTGTTTATAATATAATAGTATACTAGCAAACCAGTGAACCAAATGTTCACCAAAACCTGATTTAAAAAATGTATTTAATTAATTGAGAACTTCGGAGATTTTGTGTGGTTTCGTTTGAAATTATTTAGTTAAAAAAATAAAAAAAATAACCTTTAAATAGTTAATTAAACTACTTGACCGTCACTGAAAGCTTTATATTGAGTAGCACTTCCGTTTCCCGTCGAATTACCATCAGTTTCCGTACTTTTATTCACCTTATATCCGGTCCAGTGGCGACACCTGGCAGAAGCGCGGCTATTTTTGTTTTCCTAAGTTTTGCGCCATATTAACCATATATTAACTCATTGGCGTTCTGACTCCCGTCGAAGCAACACGTCCTCAATCTGAGCGATCGTTGCGAGATTTTAGGTAAAAAGGTACAACCGCGTATTCCAAATAGGTACTTTACGTGTCAAAAGTGAAGGAATCGTAAGTAAAACTATGATTCTTTTTGATAGTTTTTGCAGCCCTTGTGATAAGGGATATTTAAAACAAATATGTTAAATTGTGCAATACGCTTGTTTGAAAAAGTAATAATAAGCCGTGAGTAAAACTTAACGGCAATTCAAGGTGCGTTTTGTTTAAAAAATTAAAGTACCTACATTAAAGTAAATTTTGCAATACTTTACGTCTGTCTTGGTCGTTTATCATAAAAACTATTTTAAGAGTGTTTTCTCTTGGTACTCAATTAATGTTTCCGTATAAGTAAATGTGAAAGTAAATTGGTAAATGTATTACAAAATACTTAATTAAATTGTTTTACAGTTTAGAGTGAAGGAATATCGGTCAATATTGACGTTTCAGCCGCCGACTGACTGGCATTATTGGCAAAAACAGCAAGATGTGTGGATCTAGTCATTATTGTTCTTCGAACAGCTGCAGTAATAATTGGTTGAATTTGTCGTCTTCTGGTATAACGAAAGCGGCATCGCTGCCTCAAGAAAAATAAGCGAGCTTGATATTCCAGCCCTTTTATTAAAAGATTGTTCGAGGGGTATGTGAACTATGTACAATCTTAATAAGGTATTTCTAATGTCGATATGCCGTTTTCTGAACATGGCCAGCTATCAATATCTAAAGGCTTATGAATAAAAAGTTCTAACATTTTTAATGACCAATACACGTAATAAAAATTCTCATATGAGTCGTGTGACTAAACTAGGATAAAGGAACGCTCTGTTCGAAAGACATTCAACGTTTATTTTAAATGATATGCTGATGTAAATTAAAAATTATAATCATAGTCCAGGCTTTATCAACCTGGAAACAAACAACGAGTTAAAGAAGTATGATGATAATTTATGATATATCACGTTCCTGACATTAATTTTCTTTCAGCAATTGCATATTTCTAAAAAAAAAGGTAAATTTAAAAAATCAAAAAACCCGACTGCTTAATTATACTTCAAATAAAAACTGAAAAGA